AATATGCGTTTTTGCTGCCTGTTGCAGCGCTCTAGCGCTGCACGGCAAAAACGCATAAAAATTGTTGGCTGGATTGATTCCCTGGTATTATGGTGCCAAAATTTATCACCTTAAAACGAATAATTGAGTCGGAGGGTGATTAGCTGCTTTTTTGACGGAGTTGAAACGTCTACCTACTGCGCTATAACAGTTTATGCATATAAGACAAATACAAATTGCAGTACTTCCGGTTGGTATGGCTGGAGAATATTACGCATTTTCACTGCCAGCGCCAGCTGTTGATGGCACGATATCGTTGTTTCTAATGCCGCTTGGTGCGACTAATGCAACGCGTTTACTTGAAAACGATACCCACAATGTTTTCTTAACAATCAGTCGAGAGAATAATGTGACAGAATTCGAAGAAACTATGAAGGTTTGCAAGTAACTTCCATCTATAGTAAACGAAATATTTGCTAAGTTTTTCGAAAGCGAATGCTTATCTTTTTCCGAATCTTTCACCATTCAGTTTGCACACCTGATGTAGTGGAACTAGCACTCTTGCCAATAAAGTCATCGATAGCCCTAATCCCACCAGTACGAAATGCTAAGATAAGCAAGAGAGAGGGTCGATCTAAATGCCTTGTGCAACGAAGATATGTTAGAAAGCTGTCTGTGCAAATTTTGGTTGTAAATGCAAACTGAACATAGCCTGCGGGCAGGACTTAGAACTATAAGTATAATCACCAGTCTGCCATTATATAATGAGCATGTATCCCTAACGCACAAGAGTAACGAAAAGGCAAGAACTGAAAACGCAAAAACAAAGAGGAATAAATTTTTAAGAAATGACAAATAAGGAGTCTATACTTTGCGATTCACTATGGGCGAATAACTCATGAGGTTATTAGTAAAGGCTCCAGTTCCAGCCAAGAAACTGTGCAAATGGAATTGTCCGCGTCGGGGGCTGAAAGTCACAATCTGTTGACGTATGAGCATCAAGTAAGCAGCGGCTTCATTAGGTTTCTAATCCTGTTACTCACAGGAAAAATGATTTTATTGAGAATGCCTCGAAAAACTAATCTCTCTATAAGCTCTTAATTCAGTGAATGTCGGCTTGGAAGTATGCCAGGAGTCAAAAAATCACCAGCTTATACCTAAGTATCTCTTGAAAGCGGCTGACATTGAAAGACAGAGGGAGACTGTTATGATCACGAGTTGCTTCTGAACGTTTCCAGTTCTTATTGGGGCCGAAATATGGAGAGGTTTTGACTTCACTTTGCAAAAAAAAACTTATTTTGTGATGGAATTATATCGTCTAAAATAAATGGAGTTTAACACGCAGAAGTGTCTCATTAACATCACTAGGATGATTGCCTTGGCCCTTTTTGTGTTCTTGATCATATCAGAAATGAGACAGTTGGGTCAAAAAGGATATTCCAGGCTGGGTCTTTGTGGCAGTACACGGTGAGTGGAAACCAGCCGATTACAGTTTGGATTCGTGATGAACTTGCCTCCACAAATAATAATACAACGACAAAACCCAAAGGAAAACGTCGAAGATTTCAATGGGAACAAACCACAAGAGCACCAGTTGCACCGGATGCCCGTATTCTGGTCATTGCTTCTGTTCGAAAACTCGGCGGTAACGACTGGGGCTGTCACATGTTCACTCCGACGATTGTCGACCGTACATTCTCACTACTCTTTTTTACACCTTAATAAATCACTCGGTATCCAGAGGTTTTTGTCAAATGTTCTACTTTCAGCCCAGACATGCCATGATAACTTAGGACAAGACTAGACTATGGCAAAGTGCTTTTTTTGGTTCAA